ACGTTCCATTTTTTTTGTCTGCCAACTGGACGCTAGTTTTGCTTCTTACTTCTATTCCTACTTCTGGCTTCTTGATCATTTCTACTCCTTGCATTCTGTCCACTACGACTTAAATTTCGGATTTAGAGTCCAAAAATCAAGTTCATTTTTATGAATTACCTCCACTTGAGCATTTAAAAATTACTATGTAAAGCTAAGTTTCCCATAATGTTCAAATTAATTCTGAATACCTCCTGCAAAAATGTCATGAATATTATTGAATTCTTGATTGCTCAAACATCTGATTTTTATAGTATGATAATACATGATGATAATGACAGTGTAATTGTATTGTTCTAAGTTATGAATAGAGATATTATAAACTCCTCGGATATAATTTCTTTATATAGTCTGCACCAAATATTTGTGATCGAAAATTGAGATTGTCATTGATGGAATTTAATTCAGGAAGTTAATGCATATTAATGCTTTATTTGATATTTCAAGTCTTTCTTTCTTTCTTAGTGATCTTGGATAACGAAATTTAGATTAATAACATATTTAAGTACTAAAAGTTTAGTAGTCCTTTGCTAATTTATATAAGTTCACGATTTATATATATATATATATATATATATATATATATATTTAGTTGGATAGATGTGAGTTTGTGACCCTGGGTTTCACGCTTTAGCGATCGTCAGACAAACTGATTAATGTTTTAAAAAATTTGGGTTTATGTAGATTGCGTGTATTGGTGTTATTGTGGAAGTGGTGGGGAAATTTCTGCGTTTTGAAGTATGTATATGTGTCTGCATACATCGATGTTTGCGTTAGTACGATGAATGACAAAACGCAGAAATTTCCCCCACCACTTCCACAATAACACCAATACACGCAATCTACATGAACCCAAATTTTTTAAAACATTAATCAGTTTGTCTGACGATCGCTAAAGCGTGAAACCCAGGGTCACAAACTCACATCTATCCAACCAAATATGTTAGCTCTATCTCGGATATTGAGCGCTTTCTAATAAGTACCGCGCATATAATATATAAATGATTATACATATTTGTTTATATTTATATACACTTTTTACATATATATATACGGAGAGAGAGAATGAGACAGATATGTATATAAATATATATATAAGTTTTATTTGAATTTTGGCTTTATTTTACATTACTTTATTATATATATATATACATTGTTATTTACTTATATATATATATATATGTCTGAAATGAGGCATTATGATTACTTACTTTATTAGGACTATTATCCTCATCTTTATTGGCATATTCACTATATATATAAACGTTGTGAATATGGCAATGAAGATGCGGATAACAATCTGAATAAGGTAAATAATGAAAGGAATATATATATATATATATATATATATTAAGAAATGGACAAAGTCCGAGAATTTATTTATTAAAGACATTTTTATGTTTAACGTTCTTTTTATAGATACAAGTATTTAAGTAAATGCTCTGTTTATAATAAACAGTATTAAATAACATTAATGTCCGAGAAATTTTCATAGAAAATATTCGTCCTTTGGCAGGATTCGAACCTGCATCCTATACGGAACCGTCATTTACGCTGAAGTGCCTAACCTCTCGGCCACAAAGGATCGTTTGGTTGGCAAGGTTGAATTTACTGCTTATAAACTTCAATCTTCCTTGAATGTAAACAAACTGGCGCCATATTTGTTATCAGCACGGTGATATGAGCGTGCCAAATTATTAGAAAAGTGTACGAATTTAGTGAAAAGATGGGCCGTAAAAGCAGTTTAAGTGGTGTTGAAAAGAAAACTATCACCTCAGAACTCCCAAAAGGTAAATCTACCCTATAAATTTCTAAAATGATAGGGAGGTGTCATCAAACAATGAAAGAGTTCACCGCCGACCCTACACAAATACGCAAAAGGACTTCTCTAAAGTTTTGTTCACAGACGAAACTCGAGCAACACTTGATGGGCCAGATAGATGGTGCAAAGGCTGGGTAATGAACGGACAGAATCGCCATCAGCGTTTGAGACGCTAACAAGGCGGTGGAAGCATAATGATCTGGGGTGGTATCATTGGAAAAACATTAGTGGGCCCAGGGAGAGTACCAGATGGCGTCAAAATGAATGCTGATGCATACATAGCATTTATGAAGGAGCATCTTGAACCGTGGATGAAAAGGTAAAGAGTTGCCTTCAGAAGGGCCATTGTTTTTATGCAAGATAATGCTCCCTCACATGCTGCTCACAAGACTACTGAATATTTGAAACAGTTAGGCTTCGATGGACCTCGAAAAATGAAGTGGCGAGCAAATTCTCCAATTTTAACCCAATCGAAAACCTTTGGAGTATCATGAAGCGAAGACTGTACGCCAACGGACGACAATTCAGGAGCAACGCTGAGTTGTGAGAAGCAATTCTTGACATATCTCGCGGCATTACAGCAGATGACATCCTACAATTAACAAATTCTATGGATCGTCGACTTCTTCAAGTAATTTAAAAATAGGGAAAGCACATTCCCTATTAATTTCTTTAAAACTGTGCCTTTGTTTGTATCTGTTATTATTTGTTTGATTATCTTATTTATTAGCTTCTTTTGATCATAATCATTCACGTGCTACATTAATAAACGTTTTGTTTGCTCAATTCTGGGAATTTTACTAAACCTTTCTAATAATTTGACACGCTCAAATCACCGTGCTGATAACAAATATGGCGCCAGTTTGTTTACATTGCGCAGATCAGTACGAAAATTTCAGTGATTGCGTAGGTCAGTGTTGCCAACATTGTGTGAAAATTTTATGTGAATTGATTAGACGGTTTTTGAAATATTAGAAAAAGTTATCTCGATAATAATTTGGCACGCAGTATATATATATATATATATATATATATATATATATATATTTTTTTAAGTCTAATATATATATATATATATATATATATATATATATTCATTCATATAGATATATAAATATATACTATATACATGTGTGCGTATGTATGTGAGTGTGTAATCTTTTTTCTACACTTTATTACATATATTTTATGCGTGATCTTGTTAATATTTGTTTCTTAACATCTTCGTGTTATTCGCGCCGAATTATGAGAGAAGTGACCATCTTTACTAATTGACACGTGAAGATCTTTCTTTCTCCATGCATGTACACACATCTAAGGTTTCTTTCTGCGTTTCACACACACACACACACACACACACACACACACACACACACACACACACACACACACACACACACACACACACACACACACAGAGACTCACACCAAATTGATAACACTGCAAGGGATGTTTACAAAGAAATTAGAACCGTTTTGTCAGTATTTGGGATGGTTACATGACGAAAGATAAGATTAATAGAAACAATGATTGTTTGTCGGGCTGTTCTGTTTTGTTTAGTGAAAATTGTCAGCTGTTTCATCCATGCGAACGAGAAAGAGAATAGGCGCAATGGATGATGGGAAGGACTAAGTGCCTATCTGGCAATGGAGAATTTGCGGGTACGGGAGAAATGGTCGTAAATGCGCTGAATAGACTTTCGATGTAAATCAGTGAATTTTGGGCGACAATTGTGCCATTAATAAAACTAAGGACATTTATGCATTTCGTTTCTACTTCAAATAATTCAGTCGTACATTTTAATCAAAATTTATAAAATAAAAATAAAATAAGAAGTACTGGTCTAATAATTAAAAGTAGGCAAATACAAAACAAACAAGAAAAAATAACGGATATATAGAAAGCATTGAATAATAATTGAGAACAAAATAAAAGAAATATATATATATGTGTGTGTGTGTGTGTGTGTGTGTGTAACTAGCTTAAAAGGAACCTTATCGAGCAGGAATTAAGCTAGCTCCTGCGAAGGGCTGTTGATTAATCCTTCGGCTTGTTTAGAAGTTGTTTGCGGGCCCGGACTCGGACAGGAATGTTTTTAATTTGCTCACGGAATCGACTTGATTCCAAAATGGTATGGTATATTGGCCTCGAGGAGCAAATGTGAAAAAGTGTGACACACTGACATTCGCGTTTATTTAGAAAGATGGTGTCTATTCATATTGAAGTTTGCAGAATTATTCATCTTTGGTTGTGCAAGAGTAAAAAAAGAAGAAAGAAAATAGTGGGCCTAATTCAAGTTCTGACTGAAAAAATTTTCAATTAGCAAAAAAAAAAAAAAAAAAAAACGAGGAAGTCATCAATCTATCTGTTCTTCCCATTAGGTAAAATAACAAAGTAGTGTTGATTTTCTAGCCTTGGGTGTCGTTTATTAGACTTAAAAAACAGTAAATAAGATTACTTACTACTAAATCTGCAGCAATATTGCATTGCGTTGTATTCTTTTTACCTAACTCCAATATGGGGTTATTTACTCCCCTCCCCACTGGAAATATGTGACATGAAGTCTTTTTACGGGATCGGAACGCTCCACGTTAAAAACTGGCCTTGTACCACATCCTGCCTTGTGGGGAGGTTGGTAAATAGAGAGGTCATTTTTTTAATGTGGGTCTGCTTTTGGCCAATCCAAAAATTGCCCAGTCCCTACGATCACTGTTATGCTGGCGTCAATATTCCACCGATTCTCCTTTTTTTTCCGTAAAGTGAGGGAGGTACTGCCTCATGTTGGAATACTTGGAACGTTCCTCCTTGTAAAAATAAGGAGAATAGACACCACGCTTTGAGTAGAGCAGAATTCGACTCTTAATGATTCTTTGAATGAAAAGCAAATATTGAATTACTCTGATGTTGGAAATTATTGTGAATTTAAAACTAGTATCTCTTACAATTTGATTTTAACTCAGTCAGCCATTCTACCACCATCAGTAAACAGTGTGAATAACGAATAAGTTTCCTGCCAGATTCGAACTTGTTTTCCTGTTTTCCTTTGGCAGCCTATTTTAGCGACTGAGTTACGAGAGTTTTATGGGTGGAAGGCATTGAACATTAATATATTGTTAAACTTATTATTTTCGTCGAGGCTTACGGCCACATTAGGTTGAAACACCTGTTTCCATACGATCCACCGAAGTTAAGCAACGTCGGGCCTGGTCAGTATCTAGATGGGTGACCTCTTGGGAATACAAGGTGCTGTAAGCTTGGATGTGCAGGTGGTGTAATGGATAATGGCTCAGAATTGTTCATCGGAGAGCCGACTTCCAATTCTCGTTGGGCGCGGTATATTTACTGGATAAAGTATGAATCCATCTCTTTCCACGCTGCTATGAGTTAATTAATAACCCTTGTATCACTAAACTATTATTCCTCCCAAAAATGTCTTACAATTTAAAAATTGTTTCTGGCTTAAAATAATTTGCAAATGTTTGTTTAACCGAAGAAAACAAATTAGTAAATTTTTTTTTTTTTGATCTTCCGTTACTGCAAAATTTGATATTATTGTTTTGTTTTACTATTTACTATTATACAACTTGTAATATTAAATTTAATTTAATGAAACATTGCCAGTTTATGATCTTCCAGAAATAAAAAGGTGGGGAGTTCTGGTTTCACCAAGAGTCTCTTTTTGAGATGTTGTTTTCTCGTAACCATAGGTTACGACTTTTAAAAGAAAGAACATTTTTTTCCGGAAGCGATGTATAGTTGTAATTCTATTGTTGCTGCTGCTTTTGTATAGATAAGTGCAATACTAGTTGAAGATTAATTATAGCTATACTATCCAGCTGCATTATAAGGTAATTGGATGGATGGCTGGGCACTTGTATCCGAGGATGCACGTCTGTTAGTGCTACTAGCCAATACCTGTTGCAGACGCCTTCTCAGGCACATTTGTATTTGGTTTATACTGCAACTATGCCGGGCAGACCTTAGTTACAGTTTCTGGGGTGGGGTAGATTATTCTAATTATACCTTTGGATGTCTTAGTTTCAGTCAATTCACCTTGATAAAGTTTTGTTCCCTTCACCTCCAAGATTTTGTTCTCTCCACTAGGCCACGGATCGTACTCACACCTCTTTATGGATCAATCAACAAATACTTTTTATCAACTGAATCATGTGTCCTTGGATCTGAACAATGCAAATAATGTAAATATTTACAATACCTCATCTCAGAAATAGAAGAAAGAAAAAAAAAACTCGTTAAGAAAAAAGAGTACTGAATTGTTATGTAATATCAGTCCCCAGAAATATCAGTTGTCTCTTCCTGATGTTAAGTATAAATATTCTTTTTGTTTTAATTTTCTCTCAAACCTCGTCGTTGCTTACATGTTTGGTCTCTGATATCCTCATCATCTTTTTGCTGAAGCATATTTCTGTTGCTTCAAGTCTCTTCTTCATGTTTGAGGAGATTTTTCTAGCAATCGCTGCCAAATTTCACTGAAGACAACTGACAAGGGACTGTGATTAAGTTTTTTATTACATTTTTCTTGCATTCAGTGCCATAAAGTAGGACAGATATCACGTAACAATTCAGGACTGTTTTCTTTGTTTCTAACGAAGTTCTTTTTTTTATCTCTTAATATTCTGCTTAGCGTTTGAAAGGCATTTTTGCCCATCCCATTGCGTATTCGGGTTTCAGTGTCGCACTTTCCGTCCTCTGTTAGAACACTTCACAGATATTTGAAATTTTTGCTTGGTTGGTTTTGGTATCTTCGATTTGTAATTTTCATTATCAATACGATAAATAATGGTAAATCGTTATGCCAGAAATTCAGATAGAAACATTTCTTTGTTTCGCAATGTAACGAAAAGACTGAGACTAAATCTAAATTGTTATCAGTTAAAAGATTCGATGAAAACTCAAAGGTGGAAGTACGCTTTCGAGCAAGTAATTTAGTGGGTGTGTGTATATATATATATATATATATATATATATATATATATATATATATACATTATGAAATGGAAAAAATCAGACAATTATTTTAAGACATTTTATGTTTATACATTCTTTTTATAGATACAAATATTTAAATAAATGCTCTGTTTATAATAAATAGTATTAAATAACATTTACCGGCCTGAATGTCCTAGAAATTTTCATAGAAAATATTCACCCTCCGACAGGATTCGAACCTGTATCCAATACGGAACTGTTATATAGCCTGACGTGCCTTTTAACCGATTCGGACACAGTAAATTCAGTCTGCATCCTCTCTCCTGTCGTCGTAGTGCCGACCGCTTTCCACGGCATGCAGCCATTAACGACATAATCAAAAGAAGTTTGGATGCAGCTGGGTTCCCTTCCAAAATCGAACTCGTAGGCCTCGGCCGCGGTGATGGAAAGCGGCCGGATGGCATCACCATTTTCCCTTTTAAAATGGGTAAGTCGTTGATTTGGGATGCGACCTGTGCGGATATATTTTTGGCCTGTAATTTGATCAGGTCGGCGGTTGAGCCAGGATCCGTCGCCCGGGACGCAGAGATGAAAAAAATAGTTAAATATTCTTCTCTTTCTGATAGATTTTTTTTTTACTCCTGTGGCAGTGGAGACTTCAGGGGTTATTGGCCCTCGTTCGATGGCGTTCCTTCGGGGGATTGGCGCGATTGCGTCTCGATTAAGGGACGAGCCTCGTGGAACGGAGTGGCTCTTGCAGCGTGTCTCATCGGCCATGGTTCGACGTAATGCTTTCTCCCTCATTGCGGCTGGCAGAGGATAGAAAAAAAATGTTTATTGTTACGTTGTTCTGGAATTGTCATCAATGGTCAACTGAACTTGTTTTGTTTCAATAAATTTTCTTAAGATTAAAAAAAATAATCAATTGTTGGGTTTCCATATTAGACTTTTTCTATCTAAGGTAGCTAATAGCAACGATGGGAATACAAACATGAACAATAACATTAATTTTTTATAAAAAATCAGATGAATGATAATTACAAAGAAGATGAAACTAGACTTAAGCACATTATAAAAAATGCACAACACCAGGAGACAAGAGCAAAAAAAAAAAATAGACTATTTATTACAAAAGATTTAAACCGCCAATCTTATAGTTAAAAATAATAATTCACTTTTTAGATCAAAATTAAATAGAACAAATATTATTTACGAATTTAAATGTCCATTAAGGAATTGTATTCCTGATCAATCAAAATTCGTAAACATTAAGTTTGTCTTTGTAATTCACTCCTGAAAATGATCTCGGAGGAGATAGAAAGAACTTGGGCAAGAAAAAACTACGGCGCCTTTCTTGATGAATTTCATCTTAACATCAAGAAACTGGTTAGAAGACTAGAAAGGATTAATATAAAGAAGTAATTTTTTTTTTATTCATTAATCAGAGATTAAATTTATTTTCATCTACTGGTCGGAATATTCGAGAAATCTTAAAAAAAACATATGTACCCTCCGGCAGGATACGAGCCTGTGCCCTCGTTAGATCTGACGTGCTTATACCAACTCAGCCACGAAGGACTTCTGCCGATCAACCCAGACTGAATAGTGCTTTTAAGCGAAATCCTTCTCGTTATAGATGCTGAAGGGCGTATATTTTTCTTTAATATTCAAATCAGTAGATGTAAATAAAAAATAAATAAATATATTATTTAATAAGTAAACGGGGCCTGTACTAAAATATGATGAATGAATTTTCAAAAAATCCATTACTTCTTTAAAAATATATTGTGGAAAATGTATGACAAAGTGGAAAAAATTACTTGTGACGCGTTTAGTCCTTCATCGGACTAAATTTGTTATCTTGGTATGACTACACATGCGCACGAACGAGGGACGCTGGGAATTTTATATATATTTTTTTTATCTAGCCGAATTCATTTAGAGTCTTTTTCTTTTTCTTTTCATCACTTTTGTCAGTAGGTATCCAAGACTGTAATAATAGAAGATCTGCCAGAAATGTTAAAATGTTGTAAGAGCCAGAGTGCAAATCTAAAACTACTGTAGATAACCTCGCGATCAAGGCACTCTTTAGATATATATATATATATATATATATATATATATATATATATATATATATATATTTCTAAATATATATATATTTCTAAATATATATATATATATATATATATATATATATATATATAGATGTGAAAGCGTGCTATGGGAAATAAACATAGGTTACACGCATATAATTCGTTCGTATTGTATGAATGTCTGGCGCGTAATTATGTTTTTTCTTTGTTTTTTGTTTTTTTGTAGATAAATCCAACATAGTTGGTGTACATTCCAACTTGATGCTCTTTGGAGTCACTCACTTCCGTTGGTTTGGTGACATGTTATTAACGCTTAATCTTTTTCATTAGTGTCGTAAGGCGGCATTCACTCTGCCGGGAACCTGAGTCTGAGACAAGAAAATAAAGTTACGCACCCAAATATTCATGCCATACAAAGGCCACCGACTGCATGGATAAATGTAAATGTTTGCTAAGCTTAGCTCAGTCTAACAAGTAGCTACAATAGTAGGGCGTTCAGTGTGAATCGAAACAATTGTAATGGTCATCAAATCTATCTAGCTTACTCACTACAAGAAGTCGACTTGTAGTCAGTATAATATAGTGTGCTTTGCAACTGAAAACAAATTATAATCAAACGAACAAAGAAAAAAAAAACAAATGAAATTCAACCGAAGAAAATCAGTATATTTGCAAATCAATTTTTGTATATGATGGCTGATCAAAAAGTATCGGGATTGTTGCTACTGTAACGGAGCTAAAGTACACAGAGTGAATCCACTTGGCACAGATAGACCGCGAACTCTGTCGCGCATTCGCACTTAGAACGTTCACGCTCGCTTACTTTGTTCATAGAAGTTCTTGAAAGGGAAGTGTGTAGAGTGTGGTCGTCTCACCACACCACAGAGGTTCCAAGGCTTGTGCAGCAGTTTTTGACCAAGAATAATATTCTCTAGGTACGTTCAACAACCATATTCCCCGAATCTCACCCCCTTTGCGACTTCTCTTCTTTCGAAAAAACAAGGAAGGAACAAGATTTCAAGACGTCAAGGAAATACAAGACAATGCGACGAGTTCCAGGAATGTGCCCATCAATGAAAACGACGCTGGATAAAGTCTGTTGCTTTAGGAGACTACTTTGAAGGAGATTAAATGCCGAATTGATATGTGTTGTAGTTTTCATTTTATAGTGATTTTCCGAGCGTAGCTCAGATGTGGCACAAGGCCG